AAAGTTAACCGAGACTTAAAGGAAAGCACGGGAGTAACTAACGTTAATCCGATTAGATGAGATACGAGATAGCGGAAGGTCGTCCTCAACTTCCGTCACTTTGCATCAATCGGACCGCGTTAACGCTATTTGTCTATCTTTCGCAAACTTAAAAATGAGAGTATAAAAAAAAATCTCAAAAAACGATGAAGCTTCACTGATCTGTTAAGATCGATATTATTTCGAGAACGAATAACAAGCGTATTTGTAAAATAGAGTAATTACAAAAACATATTACTTTAACATTTTTATCATTGTAATATAAGATCAACCCTTTCCCGTCGAAGTCCGACAAAGAACATTTACCGGTTGCGGTCGAGAGCCAGATATTTCTCGGATATTTCCCACACGATTGTTCGACTGTTTTGTCGATCGTGCGGCTTTTTTCTCGATATTACACGTTTGTATAAATTATCCACTACGACTAACTGAGTACTCATTCTTCTGAGTGCTCCGACCGGAAAGAGAGTTAATAATTGCTGAAAAAGTACTGCGCAAAATTACTACTCGCAGCGGAATTGAACGTGTGACGTGAAGTCGTTTTTTCCTGTCTTTGCGCAGGCTAGAAAAATATATTTGCTTTGATTGTCGAGATTCGACGTCGATGTTTAAGCTCGCAAGCGGGAATTACGCGACGATGTACCCTCGCAACAATATTTAACCTGCAGCGCACAGTGGCCTCGTGAAAAAAAAAAAAAAAAAAAAACGAACGATCGCGAGCAGGTGATTTAACGTCGACCATGTCGAATATCGACCACCGTTCGTGCCAATATATTAGGGGCAATAGGTTCTCGCCACGGGCGATATCGCCGTTGTAACGAAGGTGCGATAATGCGTTCGTGGCACACGCGTTATATTGTGCCATTTCTTCCCGCTAACATACGTACAATTGCTTTTCATGACGTATACTTGAATCAGAAATAAAATGTTGCTGGGAGAAAAGTCCGTTTGCTAGACATTAATTGAATAATTTAACACACGTAGATTTGAAGATAATTTAAATCAAAAGAGAACAAGTTCAATGTATATTTAAATACATACGCTCCCAAAAATATCTATAAAAACCGTTTGTAAAATTTATATTTAATTTCAAACGTTTTCGAAAAAATCAATACAAAACCTCGGAAGCAACAACGAATATTACGTGAAAAAGTAAAAGTTATATCTCTGTTGAAAATATCTTCTCATTGTTAATGAATAAAACCGACAGACAATTTTGAATATTTAAGAGAAACTAGTTTGCTCTTAAATTTTCGTTTCTGATGAAAGTCGTGCACAAAATGAATTATGTATAGAATATCTCATGCGCCTGTCGCAAAAGTGCACAAAAAATCTGATTACGAAGGTAATTCGCAGATGACAAAATTCGCAGTAAATAAGTCATTTTTTATTTTTGTTTTTTTACGTTTCCGTTTTAATCGCTTTAATTTCGCCGAAATTAAATTGCTAGTTAAATGTACAAATTAAAAGCAATTATTTCGAAATTAAAAAAATTAACGATTATATATGCTTTGGAATGTCGAACGAACACGGACATTTTAAATACGTGAATTGTTGCTTAATCTAAGCAACAATTGCTATAGCTGTTAGTATTATTTCCGCTAACAGGAAGCGATGTTTGTTTTGTCATCAAACATTGTACCAATTTTCCACAAATCGCCCCGCGATACGTTTTGTTTCTACTGTGTCGGTTGAATGAACATTTTACATGTACGAGAGAGAGAGAAAAAGAGAGAGGAAGATGGAAACTTGCGATATATCGACACTTGTCGAAATATCGACACTTGTCGAATGACACGAATGAGTGGTGAACATAAGAATTACAATTCGCTCGAGTCGTCAAAGATAAATAGCTATTGATTGATTGCGCGATCAATAACAAAAAGATATCTAGCGTGTCGAAAAACTAATAATTTTACTAATGAATTTTTGATATCTTATTGTATAAATTACGCCAATAAAAGTCATAAAATTCCGGGACATTTTTCAAAACAATTTTCGAATTGAAAACACTTTTTGATTTTGTAAATTATTCAAAAAAAAAAAATCAAATCAAAATCAAAAATTATACTTCTATAATGTCACATGTAAATAAAGAAAAACTTGAAGAAAAACCTAGATTAAAAACAAAAAACAAAAAAAATAATTCCTCTGCAAATTTCCCGTAAAAATCTTTTTGTAAATATAGAAAATATATTTGTTTGAAGAATTTTTTATCTCCGCGCTCGGAGCGGATCTCACGTACACGTCGAAAATACATCCGGTCCGGCGGCCGCGAGCGGGCGCAACCGGACGTCGGGTCGTCGTAGATTTCCAAAGCACGCTCGTCGTTATCACGTACGGGTCGTTAAACCTACCGTCGGTCGTGAACTTTCGAAATAATTGCGAATCCGTGGAATTCGATTACCGCCGCGCGCGTCGCGTCGCGACGCGGTCGTGGAGAACGGCCCGAGGGTGCGGGCGCAGGGAGAAGAGAAATGCAATCGAATGGTATCCTCCTCTCCCCCAGTATGTACGCGACGCGCGATTGCCATCCGTTTGGCGTTACCAAGTGTTTCCCGTTTGTCGGGGGAGGCGACGCGATCCTTGTTCCGTTGGTTCGTTTCTTCGTCGCGTGAAAGTTTTATATTGTAACAACGAAACTTTTCCGCCGACCAAGTTTTGTCGCTTTTGCCTCTCGCGGGATGAACGCGGCGATCGGCGAAACGCGAAGAACTGATTGTATAAGAAGGGAAGCCGAGTAGGAAAAAGTCAGGATATGGAATAAGTAACTTCAGCGATGAAGGTTTCCACTGATTTCTTTCTGAATTGCAGGTGAAACAGGCAAACAATGTAATATATATATAAGAATAAAGTTGAAGAGAAAAAATTAATAATGTAACAATTATGTATTGCCCTGTATGTATTTTATTTGTTATTTTATGTAATACTTTTACAGATTAAATAATAATTTTATCAAGCGAATAGTCATATTTTTATTGTAAACGTGTAAGTCTAAGCTTGAATGTTCTAATATTGTTAGGTAAATGTAAACAGTTTAAAATTAAATATACGTTTACTTGAGTAATTTAGCAAACTACTAAAAGTAACTTATATCATGTTAAAATTAGTTTTATTTATGTATTAAAAAAAATAATTTTTCTCCCTCTCTCTCTCTCTTTATACATATATATATATATATATATATATATATATATATGTATTTTCTTTTCTGTATTACTTTTCCACTTTGATTATTTTGCGCTTAATGTCAAGTAATAAAACGTTTAAGTCCAGAATTAAACAACGATTGAACCAGTTGTGTTTGAATCGCTGACCGCTTTATCAAATCGAATTTCGTGCTCCCTTGAGGTCGCCGGATAATTCTTTCTCTCCGCGAAAACAGAATGCGAGAATCGAGTGGCAATTGAGAAGAAATTAATGAACTGCACCGCCAATATGTGTCGTTGAAGTGAGACGGAGAACTTCCTGAAATATCACGTGTATTTGGTACAACTCTCGTATCGCCTAATCAAATTATGCCACTTGAGAAGACCAATGAATACGGATTCCGATAATCTCGCGATAAACCTTATGGCTGCTATGACCGCTACTCTTAATCAGGATTATTGAATTTGCGACGAGAATGAGAAAAAGAGATGTACAGAAGACCGACATTTTTATCTCTGATTAGAAAACTTTGTGTTTTTACGTAATATAATTGTTCTTTTTTTAACTCTCAATCACCGATCATGAGTCGTTTTCGTCTCTGGCCCAAAATAACTTTCTCTGAAATTTCAAGAAAGCATATTTGCTAAAAATTATGAATTAAAACTTTTTTTTCACTAAATTTAATAACGGTTTTTTAAAATAGACTGTTTGAAGTGTATATACAAATTGTTTTAGATTTTTTTCAAGATATTTAATATTTTTAAAAGGCCCAAGACGAGACAAACGACCATTAATAACCATGATCAGAAAATTAAAGTGCCGAAAAACACACTATCGGTGGTTGAGAATTAAATTATGTTTAACTCGAGAATACGCTCGTAATATCAGAGAAATTATTAATAAGAGAAACAATAAAGCTCTTTTGTGCCAATCCTGATAAAGTATATCTAATTTTTTTTTGTAATAAATATAATAATATTTATTACCAAGTATTGAATGACGCAAAAAAAACAAACAAAAGACGTATGCGGAAATTATCGGATGTATAATATTGTTATTAAAAAATCTTTGGCACACAGAAGATTTTGTCGTAACAAACTTACCGCAACTAGCAATATTTTCGACGTTGCGCATCGAGATGCGCAAAGTTATCGCATTTGTGTGACACGTATAAAAAAATTTAAAACAAAAATGTTAAACACATTTTCGGGTAAAAACAATATGTCCGAAATGCGCGAATTCATAGTGAAAAAATTCGAAGAAGACCGGTGGTGGTCAGAAGTAACTATAAAGATATCTTCAGACGAGTGAAGTTGTCACGTGAATCAGACTTCTTTTTTTGTCTGCCGCGAACACGGAGCAAATCTGGGTTGCGAAGGGATCGAAGGCGAATGGCACGGCTGGGTGTCGTGTCTATTAGAAGGAGGTAGGAGTTTTATTGCCAAGCTGATAACGGATGAGCAGTTTTACCTCCCGGTCGGTGTCATGATTCATGAGTCCTTCGCGAAGGATGTGAAAGAGTACGATCTACTCTCCACTCTCTTTTCGTCCGCGGCTTCACCTTCTTTCACCTTCGTCGTGCCATCTCCGCCTCGTAAAATCGGGTGAACATATTGTGCTTGACTCTCGTTCTGCTCCGTTCACGGCAGGGTTTCTCAACTAACCTTTCACACAGGTTTGAGAAGATAACGTGCCGTTTTAGAACAAAAGACGAAGAGAGGAATAATAGGATTATTCACAATCATATAGCAAAAAACCAACTGTAAAGTGAGTTTCCCATATAAAAAATGCTAGCTCTTATTCTAAAATCATAAACCATGTTATACGCGTAATACTTTTAATGCTTTCTTATTTGTATATATAAATTAATTATGTTTATCTGTATAACAACAATTTTCTGAAAGCAAACTTTTTTATTTTAGATTATTTTTCATTACGTTAAATAATAGTTGATTAAGTGATATTTAAAAATACGTGCGATGAAATACGTACGTTTCAAGTTTACCATTTGAAATCTATGTTCCATGATATATCATAAAAATCACTTTCGTAAAAAATTATGGTATCGCATGAGGCAAAACAATTCGTTTCTTTTTTTACATCATCTAGGTTTATCGATATGATACGAAAGTTTGTCTCATTTAGATTGGAAATACCATTGTTATTGACTTGATATCTATTTGTTAGTGCTATTAACTGGTTACTTCCATCAAAAAACCTTCTTGTTATCACTTTTAATCCGCTTGGAAATTGCAAATCTTCCTCACTGTCTAGAACGACCTCCTTAAAAATCAATATGTATTTTCATTGATAAAAGTAATTACTAAAAGACTTTGAGTATAAATTTGAATAAGAAACTATCCCACATTGTCTGTCGTATGTATGTAAATAATTGACAACCGGTTTTTTTTTCCGTCAAGAACAGTGCGTATCGATAAAAAGATTTTAATTTTTTTTTACTTTTAGTATTATATATATATATATATCTAAAATGCTTATTTTTTGCATATATCAAAAACGCTAATTCAATTTGTTATATCGAATACAGCAGAAGATAATTATGTTCTTAAATCTTACCGTGTTATTAAAGTTAATGGGTTTGGAACTATCTGCGCACAAAATCGATGTTTGCGGTATATTACTAAAAAATATGGCACACTCCTTGGATGCTATTGGTCCTGTTTGACCTTGTAATATACCCGCGTGTACAGTTGAGGCATCAGTTTCATTGCTACTTAAAGAGTCTTGTAGCAATGTACTATTTATCTTATACATGTTGGTTCCCGCCAAATCAGCATAGTACAAATCTAAATCATCATTCTTTATAAACATTAAAAATTTAAACAGAATTAGCGAAGTGTCGACCACTAGTACGAAGATCACGATGCTTTTTGGTATCAATACATAAAACAATTAAAAATAATTGTTAAAAGAAAAGAAAGGTCGAAGCGTTTGAAAGTTTGAAAAATCGAAATAATTTTGTTTCCGATAAACGAGTACTTGCCATTCTTCATTAATGTCAAACCGAGAATACCGTCATCAAGAAAGAAAGAATTGTTTGCTATAGTGAAAGTGGAGTCTAAAGCGTTAGGCTTCATATAATTAGATTCGGTTCTATGGATTGTTGATTCACGTGCGTTCCAAGTCACTAAACCGTGACCTTCCGTATCAGCCATGTATACCTAAAAGTTGACACGTGTTTGCGATTTATATAATTTTTTAACTTATTGAATTTTTTGTGAGATATGTCCAATATCAACTAAATATTTATAAAAAATATAAGAACTAACAATTGCGTTATTTGTTATGTCGATACAATCCCGAGCATAAACAACAGGTGTCACTAACAAACCAATTCCGTTTTCGTTCGTGGCGACGTTATCCGGGATAATAACGAGCTTAACCAGTAAATTAGTGTATAAATCAAAGATTAACAATCGCGCGGGACAAACTTTTTCTTCTCCAATTTTGCCACAGTCCAGAACAAAAATGTGATTGCATTTAATCTGACATAAAAAGAAATAAATCTTTTAAATCTTACGTCGTACATCATATGTGCAGATAATCAAGAACAACACACAGATCCCGAGAAAAAAATGGAAAACGTGTGATCATGTGTGATCATATACGGATTGAGTATGTGATTTTATATGAGATTATATAAGATTTTTTATATAAGTCGTAACGTGATTTCACGTGATCGTGTCAAGATCAAATCCGAAATTTGGCGCGATATGATTTTACACGTGATCGTAAATAAATATAAAAAATTGTATATGGTCATATAAAATCAGATCAGAAATTTCACGCGATCTGATCACTTATATATAATCTTATATGATTATATGTTTCTATTTTTTTCTCGTAATGTAATAATGCAATATATATATATATATATGTTATACATTATTATATTATATTATATTATATATATATATATATATATATATATAATATAATAATGTATAACAATTATGTAACAAAACGTGCGTGCGCTCGCGGAAGATAATACAATTGACAATTAGTAGCTACTCACAAACACTCTAAAAACACTTATAATTATTTTTCCGTTACAGTCCGTTGTATTTTCGTTATTCTTGTACCAAGACCAATCTGGATACGGACTCAGAAGTGGACCTCCTTCTCCCATTTGGTCAGTTACTGTCATTACACTAGCTGGTACTCCCTCGTTTCTTATCGAAGTGACGAACATTCTTCCGTCTAAGAGAATTGTTTGTTTTTTTTTTAATGATTTAGAAACTATCTTGTTGTTTCATTGGCAATATTTAAATACCCGAAGAAAAAATAAAAAACGTGTGATCATGTGAGATTATATATAGTTTTATATGATTATATAAGAGATTTTATATAAATCGGATGTTTCACTTCATGTGATTGCGTAAAAAATCAAATTTGATGTTGCGCGCGATCTGATTTTATATGATTGTATAGAAAATCGTGTATTAATCGTATAAAATCGTATAAAATCAGATCCAAAATTTGGCACGATCTGATTACTTATATATATGATCTTACATATGATCATATGTTTCTATTTTTTCTCGGGTGTGTACAACAAATAAACTATTTGCACAAAGAAGTGTTTGCATTTCTCGAAATAATCACAAGATAGATTAGATTAAATTTAAATCAGCTTGGAACAAGCTTACCATCTGCTATGTCCACGTCGTACAAAATGATCGAAGTCTTGTTATAATCGTCGGAATCTGTCGCGTTCTGCGTTTCTTGTGAAGATAACTTAGCGACAAAATCAACGTACTTCCATTCGTGCAAGATTTTGGATTCGATTGCAATTGCAGTCGACAGAAGCGATGCAACAAGTAAAAGACGCCTCATTTTTGCAAGTATATCAATCAACTGTGTGTTGCGTATATCTCACAAAATGTAAAAACTATACGTACACTATATTGTAAATGCGTATATCGCGAGTGCAAGCGCTCAACAAACGTCGCTTGCAAAGTCCGGCTTAGAAAGTATTTACTTTTTTTTAGTTTGAAGAAGATACTACGTATATATATATTCTTAAAACCACATATATTATACGTTCAAGAAACGATTATACGTGACCTTACATTTACATGCATAATAATTGCGTTTGCTTGTATGCAAAATGAAGCACGCCTATCTTATCAATAGAATTGATTTCTCCGTTTCGGCAAATCATTATACCGCGCAACAATTTTCTTATTTACTTTATAATTTTTCCACTTACTTACTTAGTCGCCAATAAGAAATATTGCAAAAATAATTGCAAATAATTTCACAAAAAAAAAAAAAACATTATCTGTTATACGTTTATTAACTAATTGTAGGTTTTATTGTAGTCGCTCTTTCAACAGATTTTTATCCAATTAAACATTCAGTTCCGTTGAAACATAAATCGCGCGTAAAAACTTTGAATTTTGAAAAATTCGATAAAATTCGATAAAAAGAGTGCAATCAACTTTATGCAATTTTAATTAACAGATAAGTATTAAAAGTAGAAAATCTCTTCTACAAGACACGTCTCTGTGAATTTTCGTTCTTTCTCGACGACTTATCGAACCGTAATCTCAGAATCTTCTGCTCTCCGTGTTTGACATTGATAGGGCGTGCATCCTCCCTTGTGGCACGCGCTCGGAAAACTACGAGCGTTCCGGAGAGGGAACGAACAAACGAATAAAAGCAGTGAAATTGCTGCGTGCTTAACGAGACGTCGTCGTCCCGTCGAATAAACTGAGGGCCTTATATTGACTGTCGCGGTTTTCACGTGTGAAATCGCTGCCGAATGATTTTCACGCATTTATTTCATTCTGCGACATTGATTCCCGGAAATGCAAGTCTCACGCATGATTTAACGTTAAATATCGACCGTGTTACATTTGGTACCAATTTAGATCGTGTTTGCAAAAATCTGCATATAATCGCTGCAAGTAATTTCTGTTTATTTTCAGCAGCATTATTCTGTTTATTCTAAATAAAATTGTTACATATTTAGAAAGTTTAAAATGTTGTTACATTACGTAAAATTGTATTTAAAACCACAAACGTTATATATACATATAACATAAATATATATGTATACATACATATATATACATATATATATAGATATATGTATACATACATATATATACATATACAAAATATACATACATATATACATATGTACATATATTTGAATGTTTTGAATATATATATATATTTGAGTGTTTTTTTTTCGACAAATTTCTCCGGAAGTACACGTACACACATACACAATACGTACTGCACAAATATAAAAACGACAATTTAGAGAGAATGCATGCACTGACGATAGATGAGCTAGGGTTAGAAAGTGATTGAAGGACGTCTCATAGCCCTGGGGTCACCCCGTGATTGGTTTGACGGGATTTAGCCCCTGTAATACCAAGCTCGACGTCTGCTGTTGCGGTCGGCTTTGGTCGACGCATTACCGGAGGGTTGTTAGGGTTAGCGTACTGGGGGTAAACACGCTCTCTTGTTCAGAGAACCGCTTGTCACACATTTTGAAATTTGAATAATTTGTGGAATGTTTTTGCAGTCTGATTGCAAAATTTGTTATAATTATTGTTTTTAGAACACACTCAGAAAAAATTCTTCCTTTTCATAACGTAACTTTTATAATTCAGATTCTTTTATTAAAAATATATATAAAAAAAATCATAAACACGTAATAATTAGATATATACTTTCTTTTTAATATGCATTTATATATTGTTTGTATAAAATAATTTATACATAAATAAAAAATGATTTAGTAAACGAATATAAAAATTCCTGTTGTTTGATATATTATTGATGCAGTATTTTTTGCTTGATTTTTTTGTATTGAGCGCGCGTGTGAAGATATTTGCAACGGATCCGCGTATAAGATAACCGTATTCCCGTATTCGCACCCATTTCGCTCTCTTCCGTATTCCATCCCATTCGAAAGGGCTGCATTATAGATCGTGTGAAATCCAAGTGTCTGACCTCGATCGGCGGCGGCGGTGGGTCGCGTTAGGGATAGAGATATGTGAGGAAGAGAGAGCGCGCGCGAGAGAAGCAACACACACACATCGCAGTGGGCGAGCAAAAGACCGCGAGCGCGAAGGTGGGAGAATCATCGTGCGAATTTTACGCTAACCCGATAGCTGGTTGGAATAGATTACATCGATCGGTAAAATCTATCTGTGCGGATAACGCTTCTGTAAACGGCCCAGACATTGTCAGCACGTTTCCATTCCTTGCCGATAGCTATAATGTCTCTTTCCGTCTCGGCGATTTTTGAGAGATCTGTATATTATTTTTCTTAGATTTTAGAAACACACCGCTGACAAAGAGACAGAGAGAAATATCACGGAACAACAGTTAAATTTACTTATTCAAAAACAATTAGTAGAATTAACAAACATAAACTTTAAACTCTGATTTTGATACATTTCATTTTATAGATATAGGTGTATTGAATTTTTTTTTTATATTTTATAAAAGAAACTTTTACCACATGATAAATATATCAAAAAATCTATACGTCTACAAAGGCAAACAGGATAGGTGGAACGACGAATTCCGCGCACTCTTTTATTTTAATTAACAAATTTACTTCGCTATTATTGCACGAGACAATTACCGCGATTTCTCCTGACTTTTAATCAGACAATTACTTTATACCGTTTACCGTGTATTTAATCGCGTTACAGCTTCAATGCTTTGCTTATGGAATAATCGTGCGCCGAGAGATTTTTACTCCGTTTCTTTGTGATAGAGCGAAACAATGAATTTATTCCACTCCCAAACACTTACTTTAACAATCACTTGAAAATACGCGTCAATTAAATTAACTTTTCTACAAAGGGGATGGTACACAGCCGGGAAGATTCGAGCTTATTCTATGTGGGACTCGACGAAGATATATTCTTGTACAGAGTTTCGAGGGAGAAAAGAGATTAACAATTTTCGCGGCATATAACAACCACTTACGGAGCTGCGCGAAATAGCGTTTCAGCCGACATATTAGAAAATATATTGTATGTCGTCATATCTCGTTCTCGCGCAGAGAAGCGCGTTTCTTCAAACGAATCCAAAAATCTTTAAAGAGAAAAATATATTTTATTGCACAGTAAAAGAGCTTTATTATTTTCACAGTAAAAATACTAAATACGCGCGATATATCCCCGATTGTATTCTCGTCGGCGTAACAAAAGTAAGATTAATCTTAGCCGGAACCAACTCGATAAATTCGCTAACTCTCTTATAATTCGCGTTTATGCCGGTTACACCGGGCAACGTTCACGCTTTAGAGACTCCTATCGGAAAACGCGCTTATTCCGCTCCCTCTAACTCCGTCGCAATTAGTCGAATTAATTACACTAGCACTACAGTACCACGAATAAAGCGTGACCTCGCATTTCCCGCGTCGCAACTGTGGAAAATTCACCGCTATACGAATGGCGACATTAAAAAGTTTCGCGCGTTTTCGAATCGCGAACTTTCCGAAAGTGCCGTATTCTTTCTACCAGTTGCGGATCGGCAGACCGGATACAAGATGATCACGGTCAATTACGTTCGGAAAATTTTCCGCACTAAGAAGATCGTCCGCTGTTACTTTACGACATTGCTCTGAATTTTACTTAGCGTCATTGACGGTAAGTACAAAAATAATCTGTATGTAATTTCGAAATTGAAAAATACTACAATTTCTTTTTAACTGATTGTAAAAGGAACTTAATTAGTTGTAATAAAATTAACAATCTACTTACTCTCTTGCCATTTTTGTATAATTATTTAGGATTGAAAAATTTATACATATGTATAAATTGATACTTAAAACACTTTTTACAAAATTTTGTGACTTTTTATATTAAAATATTGTTTTTTAAAAATATGTATTATGTATATTGATTTGTAGTTTTATTTTAAACTTGAACGAAATATATCGGAATGTTTCCCAGTTATTAAACTTCGCGAATCAATTTGTATTCTTCTCAAATATGAAAGCGAGCGATTGGAAGTCGCTGCAAATAGAGACGTTATAGCCTGTCGCTACCGTGACGTGGAAACTTTTCTCATCGTAATACATTGCAATCAGCGGGTTTCCACAGCATCGCGATCGGACGCGCGCGATATCCGACAATGAAATAAGTAATCATCATTATTATCGTGGTTGTTCCGGGGGAAAAAAAAAGAGAACAGGGTTGGCAAAAGTTTTAATCACGGCGCGACGACGAATTGCAATTAAGGGAAATAGGAAGAGAACGGTCAAGTACGGCGGAATCAAAGAATTGGAAAAAAAGAGAACAGGAAGATGAATAATATTGTAAATTATACAATAGAGAAAGAGAGAGAGAGAGAGAGAGAGAGAGAGAGAGAGAGGAAGAGAAAGAGTACGGTTAATTAAAGTTTTAATATATTGTTACCTCTAAAAAGAAAATTGCTGGCTGCGTATTAATTCAAGTGATTTTATTCGCATGAAAATTCTCAATAATTTTCACTGTTACATTTTCAAACAAATTTATTTTTCAATGTAAATTAGTAACAATGCAAATTCTTTTTATTAGGTAGAAAGTACGAACATGGCTTTTTTTTTTTAATTGTAAATGCACCGAGCGTGAATAGAATTCCATGACAAAACGCTCCGTTGTATAAAAACAAATTATGAATAACAAGATAAGCTTCTATTTTCGGACAGACAAAATCGCGCACGTATAACGGAATATGATACTATTAAGCTTTTGTGAGATTAATATTTTCTGTACTTTTCACGATAACGCGCAACGGGTTAGAAATGGTACGTAGTCAATAGATTTACAGATCGATAGTTATCTCTCGGCGAGTTAATAGCTTGCGCGCTGAAAACTCGGTCTCTTGTAGCACTCGATTCCGTCCACGCCGACGACGATAATGATAACGATTACGGTAACGATACCCTACGTACACCGAGGTAGATTCCAAGATGTAAGTTTGAGCGCATATATGTCCGCGCGCGAGC